AGTAGAGATCAGCTTCACTTGCAAACAGTTTTATGACTTGCTCTTAATTCTTCTTATCTGTCTAACTGAAAAGTCATTATCTTTTCATCTCAGAGTTCAATACTCACAAGGATATGTGTGTGTGTGTGTGTGTGTGTGTATATATGTATGTGTGAATATACATATATATATGTATGTATGCATACATACTTATATGTAGAAATATGTTTCTAAATAAATATGATTTGGGAAAATAATCACCAAAACACAACAGGAGAAAAAAGCATAATGGTAGAAATGGGATCCAACAAGGGAATGCTTTTCGTTCAACTCAAAGTATAAATGGCCACTTATTTATATTGCTTAGTGATATTTAGGAGGAAGCTGTATTTCACTGAGCAGCTGGGTTTCATTTAATGGACTCACCATATTCTAGAGTATCCTAGATATAAAGTAATTTCATTTCCTTCATTAAACATCAGTATCCCATATAGTCCCTATTCAATACCTCTAATAACAGGATGATGGCCATACAAGTATTTTATCTAAAATTGAATTTTGCCTAATGCACAGTGTTTTCTGTGAAAATCAATGTTTGTTGAATGGGCTTATTGAAAGACTTCAAGAACTTTTACCATTTTGGTCATGTTTTTCTGAATGTCCTGTCATTTAAAAGTCCTCAAAATATGCTTCTGAAGGACAGAGTACTAGAGATACCATCTGATCGGCTCTTAGGCTAGTGAGAATATCATCTCCTTTATTCTGGATATGTTTGGCACTCCAGCAGAACATCCATTTCATTCGTGTGTGTATTCACTCTATGGTCATAGTTACTAGTACCTCATCATGTGAATTTCTTGCTCATTTTCTCCCAAATATTTTGTAGGATACCTATCTGACAGGCTAAAGAAGAGCTTTCTAGATGCTATTACTTTTATTCATTAGCATTCTGTCCAGTTATATAACAACATTGTCTCATGTTGAATGTGTATGTGTATGAATTAGCTTTGGTTGATATATATTATATATTACATTCTTATAGCTTTCTATAATAGTATGATAAATTACTATACATCATATAAATTCACATATGCAGTTGTATGTAAGTGTATTTTGTATATGTATATACCATCCATATATGTATACATATATATGTATTCACATACACATACATACACATAGAGAGAGAGACATAAATGTATATGTGCACATACACACACACACATATACACCTTGCTAGGTGACACAATGTATAGAGTGGTATGCCTGAAATCAAGAAGATCAGAGTTCAAATCTGGCCTTAAATATGTGTGACCCTGGATAAATCACTTCTTCTCCAACTGCCTCAGTTTCCTTAGCTTTACAACGGAGATCATGATAGTATCTACTTCACGGAGTTGTTGTGAGGATTAAATGAGATTACATTTATAACGTGGTTAGCATAGTGTCTGGTGCTAGTAGGTACTACATAAATACTAACTATTATGATGATGATGTTGACGTATAAATGTAGTCATATATGAACTGATAAGCCAGATTCCTCTGAAGACCAGGTATCTGTAGAACCAGGAAGAAGAAATCAGAACAAATGAAGTTCTCATGGGAAAAACGATATTTTCTAGATAGCTGGCAAAGATCTAGTCTCAGGAATGAGTTCTATGTGATTTCTTGGTTCTATAAATAGTTCACATTTTCTCAATTTTGGTTGTGGTTTTCACTTTCATTTAGGTGGTTTAACAAAATCATATGGTTTAATTTTCTAGTTTGCTCCCATGCTTATCTTAAAAAAGCATAAAAGTACTGTACAATTGTTTAACGAACTGTTTTTGTAGCCAGAGATAGGGGAGAGAAAACTCTTTTTAAGGTACCATCAAATCAGTTTTTAAAGGATGTGTGTTTTATCTGTTAACTAAAGTCAGCTGCCTAAGGCTCCAGATTCACCTGAAGTATGGAGAGGATTGCTGAAATCTAGCTGGCAACAATAATGCAAAATTAATGTAGACTTGAGATTTAAAGATAATGCAAACTGCTTGCAACAAGTTCATCCAGCAAATGGCAGCTGGTGAAAGGGATTCTGGAGCATAAAATTAAATAAAATATACTTCCAAATTGTATTTTCTCCTTAGGCTACAGGATAGAGATAGTAATCAGAACTATGATTTCACTGGTAAAAAGAACTCCGAAGTGGGGAAATTCCATCTACATTCTCTTTAACTTAAAGGTTTCAGAGTAATGGTAGGTGAACAGGGTGACACAGCCATTATAAAGCAAGTAAAACTCAACAGATCACATCCACAGCTCTTGTACTATCATGTTGGCTTAAAACCTCAAGAAGAGAGAATAATTATGACAATATCTTTAATTTTGAGAATTATGGCTTTATGATGAGTTGAGAAAAGTTCAATTCATATAGTACCTAAAATAACAATTGACAGCTCACATTCTCCTTTTAAGAAAAGCAGTATTTAACATGAGAATCTAATAACAAAAACAACATAAAATGATAGATTTATAGTTGTAAGTATCCTTAGAGGCCAGAAATTTCAGTCCCATGACTTTCCTAGAATTGCACAACTAGTTATCAAGTGTCAAAGGTGGGATTTGTAAGATGGTTTCACTTACTCCAAGTCTAGCACTCTATCTTGTGTTCCACAGTGCTCATGAAACAGGCAAGAGACATAAGTGTTAAATCAGATGTTAATCACTTGCTTCTTCTTTCTACTTGGTGATGTTTTTATTTTTGTTATTATTGTTCATTTCTTTTGCTTTTAAATTCTTGCTGAGTTAATCAGAAACTAAACAATTTAGGTAATTTTATCCCTAGCCCATGGAACTGAATAAGCTATAACCATGGTCCCATAGGGCTAATCTAAACTTTTCCATACCAGGGAAGAAGTTTCATCTAAGACATTCAGTGTAGTCAAGGATGGGGGCAGAAAGAGTACAAATATACAGAGCTTGGTTAAGGGAATACAGATTTTTTCAAGCAGACACAACCAAGAGATAGCATTGAGGGACTTCCTCCTGATGTTAAATGCAAATGGAGTTATACATTATAAATTTAGGATGCCAACTTCCAAATTAGTGGTTAAATGTTGAACATAACTGAGACAAAAGCATAGTCCCGTAGCAAAAAATTAATTATGTACATACAACCAATCACATTGTCATGTAGTGTTTATTCACTTTTCAAGAGTTATACTGATCAAAAATCATTTATTCATCTCCTACTATATGCCCCATGGAATTGTACTTGGTTCCTGGGATAAAAAGAGAAATGCAAATCCTTGGCATCAAAGAGTTTACTTTCTATTAGGAAAGACATACATAAGAAATATATATATTTTTTTAAATTTTTAGTAAAATGGAACTTTATTATTAATATATGAACACTTACACATACAAAAGGTCAGGAAATTAGGTTGTACATGACATGAAATTTTTATATAGCTTCTTTTAAATATATGTGTATATACATATTGAATTTAATGTCATAATACAACCATTTGTTTCCACTTTTAAACTTTCTTCTACTTTTTCATTTTATTTTTAAATATTTTATATGCTTTTTTCTCTTCCTCCTCCTCCTCCTCCTTTTTTCTTTCCCCTCCTCATCTTCCTCATTCTCATCATCCTCCCCCTCCTCCTCCTTTCTCTTCTTCTTCTTCTTCTTCTTCTTCTTCTTCTTCTTCTTCTTCTTCTTCTTCTTCTTTTTCCTCCTCTTCTTCTTCCTCTTCTACTTTATTGTCACTATCTGTATGAGAATCCCGACTCTTCCTTCCCTTCAAAGCCCTCTTATAAAGAAGTATTGTCAAGCAAAAGGATTTTTGTTGTATTGTTACTATCTGAAAATTTATAACTCATTCTGCACCTATATTCCATTACCTCTTCACCCAGTCTTCCCAAGTCATGATTGTACATTTCCTCTTTCAGAGTCCCTAAAATCTTCAAAGTTCTTGTCTTTTATATTTACACAAAATGAATTCAAAATAAATATTAGCTATTTTAGGGAAGAAGAGTATTAACAGCTTTAAGAATAAAAAAAAAACATGTACTGTAGAAAATGACTTGAGTTGAGTTTTGAAGAAAACAAAGGGTGTCTAAGAAATCAGGAGTAAAGGAGTAAGTTTATTCTAAACATGGGGGATAGCCATTGTCAAGTTACTGAGATGTGACATGGATTGTAGCAAGAAGGCTAGTTTTGTTGGACCATGGAATGAATGAAGAAAAATATTGTGTAAAAAGATTGGACAGGTAGATAGGAGCCAGGTTGTGAAGGCTTTTTAATGTTTTAAAGGCAATCTCACAACAATAACAATTACATTTTAAGGTTTTCAAAACACTTTAAATATATTATCTCATTTTATTTTCACAACAACCCTGGGAGAGAGGTGTTACTCTTATCTCCATTTCACAGATAAAGAAATTTTGAAGTAACTTACCCAGGGCCGCACCATCAGTAAATATGTAAGGCCAGATTTGAACTCTCATCCCTGATTTCAGCACAGTGTTCAAAAGTGTATCCTCAAAATAGTCATTGTAGGGAGAGCAAGTATTACTGCCCCTGTTTTATGATGAGTCTCTGTAAGTTTGTTAATTTGTCCAAAGAAACTATTGAAGCATCAAAATCAAAACCTGAGGAGGCATTTTTAATTGCATTTCTTTCCCCATTACTTAGGATAATCAACTTTTCACTGTTTTCTGGAGAAAATCTTTTTATTTCATAATGTACCTTAAAGAGCTGCTGCGGAGAAGAGTCAGAGTCTAAAGTTGTTGTCCCCGCCGCAGTGGGTTCACTTTTTTTTTTACATTTATCAAAAAAATTGTTGGGTTTCCTCTAATGTCAAAAAATCACAGTTCTTTTAAAGGCACCATTCCTGATCACATTGGACTGGAAAAAAATATCTGTCTTATCAGTATTTGTGGCCATTCCCTAATGTCAAATGTCAAAATTCTTAGATGGTTTTAATCTTTCAAAGATACATCCTTTGTCTCTTTCATTTCTTTTTCTTTATTGGTAGATGGATTTGATGCTTTTACTAGGTTCCTTAAAACTGAATTCAGTGAAGAAAACATTGAATTTTGGGCAGCCTGTGAGGATTTCAAGAAAAGCCAAGAACCCCATCAACTGTTCCATAAAGCACAAGCAATATATGAGAAATTCATACAGAATGATGCTCCACAGGAGGTATAGTAAAAAAGAAGAGAAGGAGAAAACAACTGAAAGAGGGGGAAAGGTTATATAAATCCAAAAGAACTTCATAAAAGTTGCATCAGTGAAAACCCACTTGGTAAAAATGAATACATAGGGCCATCATACACTCTACTTCAAAGTTTATAATTATTCTACATGAATAGTGGTTATATAATAATATTTTCAAAAGTACATAGGTAAATAAATATATACTAAATATATTATATGCCCTTACACAAATACACATGTGCATATATGTGTGCACGTGTGTGTGTATCTATAAACCCATATATAGATATATACATCCAAGCACACATATAAATACACACTATGTGTGAATATATATGAGGCAATATGGCAGGGTCCAGCCTTGACAGCAGGAATATCTAGGATCAGCTCTTCCCTCTTATGCATATGACCTAGGTAACCACAAATATTTAAACATTCTATACCGCAAGTGACTCTCTTAGACTTGAAGTTGCAGATTAGGTTGTGATCTACATAAGCATAAGGAGTTTTTCCTCAGCTCTGCATTTCTTACACTCATAAGCATACTTTTTATTTTAAATATACTATTTCACAGATATACATATATATGCATAGGTCACATACATGTATCTATACATTGCATATAAGCATCTTCCTATATAGCTAGAGTTTAAATTAACTTGCCCTATCAATATTTACATGCATATATAAACACATACATATATGTCTATCTTTAGAGATAAGGATAGAAATAGAGAAATGGATGGGCAGATAAGTACACAGCTATATCAGTCTAAACACTGAGATAGTGGATGTAGCTATATAGAATGATATAAGATAGATGATAGACACATAGACAGACTGACAAATGGACAGACAGTTTGGGCAGGGTACATAGAACTTGAAAATTTATTCTACATTTTCCCATTCTTAATTTTATCTTTTCCAACCAAAACTGTCAGACTCAATCTTCTCCCAATTATGCATACAAAGATGTACTGATTCACTTTCAGTGTGTCAGGCTTATTGGTATCTTTGATTTCCTATTTAGCTCTATAATGAAAATTTAATGGAATCATAAAAATTAAGAATCTAGCTTCCCACCTAATGTAGAAATATCTTCTATAAGAGCTGGCATAGCAGTGACAAGGGCCTTATATATTTGTATGTATAAGCCTATTGTGTACATGATATTATATAATGACATTTATATATATGTATATATATATATATATGTATATATATAATATATACACATATATATATGTATATATTATATATATGTATATATATAATATATACACACATATATATATATATATATTATATATATTATATATATGTATATATATAATATATACACACACATATATATATATATATATATATATATATATATATATATATAATATATCATATGTGCCTTTCTGAAGCAATGTCAGTCAGAGATTAGAAGTTAGGGTGGAACATTGTGATGAAGAAAGAGATCCTAAGCTTTGTAACATGTACGGGTCTATTCTTCCTACACCAGGAATACCTATAGCTAGCTAGGTGGCATAGTGGATTGGACACTAGACCTGAAGTCAGGAAGATTTAAGTTCAAATCTGCCTTGAGATACTAACTGTGTGACCTTGGTCTGTCTGCCTTTTTTCTTCTAAAGCTGTTGTGAAGATCAACTGCAAAAAAAAATTGTAACATGCTTTGTAAATCTGAACATATATACATATATATACACACACATACATACATATATATGCTAGCTATTATTACAATCACTGCTCTCCCTCCATTGACCATATTCATATAGAAAAGTATTAAAGAGGACAGCAGGGCTCACCTTCACCCATTCTTCTCATCAAACTACCATAGCTATTGGCCCCATAGTTTTAGGATAGGAGAAAGTAAAATAGGGTACCAAAGTCCAAAAGCTCAGTATTCTCTGTTACTGGGAAATTTATAAGAGACATTACTTTGGCTTGGGGGTGGGGTGGGGTGGGGTGGAGAAGAGAAATATTTTTATCCTGACATTTATAAAGAAAAGTGAATTCTGTGATTAGTACATTGTCCTACTATCCCATTTGAAAATAAAAACATAGGCAAATCACAAAGCATTTATCCTTAGTCATAATTTCATATGAATGGTTAGAGAGCTTTTAAAGTAGTATTAAAAAGTACACTTAAATATATTCAAAATAAATAAAAAGAGGTATATAACATATAATATATAACAAAGAGGTAATAAACAGCTGGGATAATTAGGAAAGTCCTCATTCAAGAGGTGGCATATGAGTGGAACCTTGAAGGAAGCTAGAGATTTCAAGAGTTGAAGAGGTGAGATAAGAATTCATTCTAAAGTTTGGAGATTTTAAAAAAGCAGAAATTTAAGAGATATAATGTTATTTTTGAGAAATAGCAAGAAAACTACATGGGCTTGACTTGTAGAATACAGAATAATGAAACTAGAATGTATGTGTGTATACACACACACACACACACACACATATATATGTATGTATGTATGTATTGTTTGCGTGTATATATATATACACACACACACACACACACACACACACACACACACACACACACACACACATAGATATACTTATACATATAGATGACCAAGGTTGTGAAAGTTTTAAGTCACCTAAAAGAGAAGTGTATATTTGATAGAAGAGGCAGTAGTGAACTCCTAGAATTTATTGAGCAGGGAAGTGAAGTGACAATCAGACTTATGCTTCAGGAATATCACAATGTCAGCTATGTAGACAATAAATTATAAAACGAGGCAGGGAGATCACTTACTTGAAAATACAGCTGAGAGGTAATGAGAACCTATACTGGTAGTTTGAGTGAGCAGAGGAGACAGCTCTGAAAGATGTGGGGCAAGGAAGAATTGATAAGACTTGGAGACTGACTGGGTATGTACGGTAAGAAATAATGAAGAGTTAAGGATGCCTTTGAGGTTGGGATGTTGGGAGGCCACAAGGATAAAAGTGGCATCTAAAGAAATAAGGAAGTTTGTAAGAGGGGTGAATCTGAGAGAAAACTAGTTTCATTTTATACATGTTGAGCTGAAGATAGATAGGGGACATCTAGTGTCATTTAAAATGCATTCTGATTGCATTTGAATCTGATGATTTGACAATGCTCTATTGAACCATGTTTGCTAACATACATAATTTTTCTTTCTATTCTAAGATTTTAATTTAAAGGCATTTAGGATGAGTGTGAAAGTAGTCTGGAAAGACACATCAAAGTTCAGAAATCTTTAACAGGTTAACTGTATTTATATTTACTTTTGCTTGTCTGGGACCATTTGGCCACTCTGCATCACGGAAAGCACTAGCTGGTACATGTTATATCCTCTCTGTCACTGGTTGCCTTTTCTTAGAAATTGATGGTGTCTTTCTTTATTTCCAGTTCATTATCAGTTTCCTCTTAAAGGCCTGCTACATAACCAAGCAGACCTTTAACTCTGTCCATAAGATACTTTTTAGGCAAGCAAAAGTTTGGATGCTACAAATCTTGTTTTACTCACTTGTCCAAACTTTACACCAGTCATTGTTCTTCCCTTTGGCTTTAGGCATGGAAGATTCTTATTAAAATAGAATTAGTCAGAAATGTTCTCCTTTGGTCAACTTAATTTATAAGTAAATTAACCAAAATGTAAGCTGCATGAATTAGGTTATTGTCCATGAAAGTCAGGTTCTTATGGGGAAGAGGCTGTGCTGGTATCTCTGGTGTTGTAGGTAATAAATAGTTTTAGGAAAGAATCGTCTAGAAAAAGAGAGACATAAAGGAGGAAGGAAAGAGAGAGAAACAGACGTCTTTTTCGTAATTGAGTCCGCTAATAGCTCTGATCTTCTAATAATAGTTTCTTCCCTGTTTTCCAGGTTAACCTTGACTTTCACACTAAAGAAATAATTTTTAAGAGCATCTCCCAACCAACCATCCATAGCTTCGATGCTGCCCAAAGCAGAGTGTATCGTCTTATGGAGCAAGATAGCTATACACGCTTTCTGAGATCTGACATCTATTTGGACTTAATAAATGGAAGACCCCTCAGAACAACAAATCTTCGAAGGCGATCACGCTCCTTTACTTTCAATGAATTTCCAGATGAAAAACCAGATCTTGCCATTTGGCTATAAAAAAAGAAAATAACATTCTTAATTTTACTCATATATCATAGTAAGCTATTTCAACTTGACTCATATAATATGGACTATTAATATTAATAAATGTAATCAACTATAACTTGTCACATGGGTGAATTTAAAAACATAATTTGAAACACTTCTCATAGCAAAGGGATGCAATATAATAACTATTGTGTTCATATATACCTCCATTTAAAAAATTAATTCTTTTTAATCTACAATTTTCAAAAACAATTATCTTTAATGTATGTGTGAAGAGTGATAATTATACATTCAGTAGGATCAAGAGGACAAGATTTGTAAAAACTTAACAATAGTTTATACATTTATATTTATATACATATGCATAATATGTTCCACATTTTATATTAAATTAATAAAAGATGTTATTCAAAGAAGCACGATGAAAAAGGAAATAGAGGGGATAGCCTTTGAGTAAATAAAACCTGTGTTTAATTCCTGCCTCAGGATAAGAGTAGGGATAGGGGATAGAAACTAGACCTGTGATGTCACTGATGAAGGAAACTCTTGAATGTGTAAATTCCCTCTATGCATGTCTGAACATTCTCTGCAACTTATAATCTTAGAGTTAGCCTATAAGTAGCATTTTTTTCAAGACTATGTGATCATAATCTATACTGCCTTTAATAAAGCATAAAGATATATGCTTTATTTTAGAAATATTTAATTTTCAATGTGTGTTGCATTGTATTAATGTCTATATTTGCTGTACAATTAACTTCCACATCTTCATGTACTTGAAATGCAGAGAAAAATTAAAGAGTTTATGTTAAAAATTTCTTTATATTTATTGCATATTTTACTGTGATTTATTACATTCTAGAACTAGTTACTGTTCACTCATTATCAATTAAATTTAATATATATGCAATTATTAATATTACAAATTTTAGAAGATATTGAGTTTTTCTGATTTCCAGTTGACCTAATAGTAAGTCAAACTTCTGAGGCTATTTTGTAAAGTGGTGCCGTTTATATTTTTGCCTTTCCAAGATCCCTTCTAAATGACAAGTTTTATATTTGTGTTTTTCTCCTATTTATTGGTCTTTTTATTTGTAAGCCACAATTATTGCTGTTTATGCACCTGCCAGAAACTTGATGATGGCCACCTATACTCTCATTCACACAGCATGGATGAAGATCAACAACATGCTTCTCAAATCCTGATCAGTCTGGTTATGTGGAAATAGCCTTCAGAATCTATCAACTATTCATCAGTAAACACTATCTGAGTCACCAAAGCATCCTTGGCAATATCCTAGGTATGGTGGAGTTTATGTTCAATACTACCCTTGTTTGAGTGAACTTGTCTTGGGAGGAGGGGCAGACACCAAAATGAACAAATGGACAGATCGAATAAGAATCTACAAGATTAATTCAAAATATATGAATGTCCTAGACACATAACATCCTTTGAAAACAACTTTCTTTTTGTCTTTATATGTCTAGTGCCTATAATAGATGCTTAATCATATTGAACTGAATGGAATAACATAAACCATGATCTCAAAATGACACCTTTGTGAAAATAAAAATGGGCATCTATGTACATATGCATACATTTATGTTTGTATTTATGTATATACTGAAATTTAACATGAGTTATTTGCCATATTCAGATTTTCTATGAATTCAACACATTTCTATCATCTCCCATAATGTCTGAGCCCAGGGAATGATTATCAGCATCCAGGTGGTACGGTAGATGAAATAATAGGTCTGGAGTCAAGAAAAACTGAAATCAAATCTGACATCAGACACTAGTTGTGTGATTCTGAGAAATCACTTTTTGCCTCATTTTCCTCAACTATACAAAGGGTATCATAACAGCACCTACTTCTTAGAATTGTGAGGATCAAATGAGACATTTATTAAAAATGTAACAAAAGCTCTTCGTACAATGCCTGGCACATAATAGGTGTTTAATACCTATTTGTCCCTTTCCCCCTTCCCTAATCCATAAAGACTGTATGGCTTTGATTGAGAGGATAGTTGTGGAAAGGAAAAGGACCATGTGGGGAAGGTTATTCATGGGAGAAGTGCCATGGGTATTACTTATTATTGGGATGAGGAAGGTAGACACCCATGAAACTGCTTTGATTGTTTCTAAGAAAAAAAAAAAAACAGATGAAACTGAGAAATTGAAATGACCTCCTGCTTTGAGATTGAAAGCTGATTGCCAGCAGGCCATTAATAAGATAAAAGGTGCTTAGATTTTTCTACCCAATAAAGAGGTGCAGTGAAGCACCAGACACTTTCTCACCTAGAAGCAAGAGTCTTCCCAGGAACTGTGCCCTGACAGTTTGCCCTCCCTATTCATTTAGGGAGGATATAGTCATGAATCCATGAGGGGTAGGAAAAGAAGGAAATGCTTATTATTAAGTGCCTACTACTTACCAGGCATTGTGTTAAGTGCTTTACAAATATTATCTCATTTGATCCTCACAACAAATCTGTGAGATACTCCATTGTACAGTTTAGGAAACTGAGGCAGACAGAAAATAGGTCACTTTTCCAGGTTCATATAGCTAGTAAATATCTGAGCTATATTTGAATTCAGGTCTTCCAATCCAATCCAATCCAATAAATGTTTAATACGTGCCTGCTATGTATAAGGCATTGTGCTAGAGACACAATAAAAATAAAAATAGTCCCTGACCTCAAGGATCTTCCAATTTAAGAAAGAGACAGCAAACAAAAGGACACAGGAAATCAGAGGCAGAACAAGGGGAAATGGGACACCAGGGCATACCTGGCATGGAGACATCTAGGTTCCATGGAGGGCAGCAGATGCAAAGTGGAGTGAGCTGAGTCAAGTTTCTGCCTTCTATAGAGGAAGACATTGGGAGGAGTTTGGTTCTCTACCCTCTAGCCTTCCAGAAGGGAGAGAAGGCTGAGGGAAGTGGCAGCAGTCAAGGCTTGAATTAACAGCATAGTGATGAGTTTAGAAATGATAGGCTTATACTGGGAAAGGCATCTTGTTTCATGGAGTTATAACCAGGCCAAGCAGCAGATGCAAAGTGGAGAGGTCTTCCTGACTCCAGGCCCCATGCTTTATCCATTGCGCCACACTGCTGCCTATAGTGTAGCTGGAAGCAATCTCAAAAGTCCAAGCTTCTTCTTTTACAGATGAGGAAACTGAGTTCAGAGAGATTAATCATGTTGTTCAAGTCTACATTGGTAATAAGTATGAGAGCCAAAGTTTAAATTCAGGTCCTTTACTTCCAGGGACAATGCTCTCTCCATATGACCGTATTTACTCCATAGACATCTACATTTCTCTGTGAAGATGACCTGATTACATTTACTCTAATTCTTTCCTAATTATTTTAATACCAATTAAATATTTTATTAATAAAATAGATATGCTTTGTTTTGTCTCAGTGTTATGTACAGATATTTCAGTTGATTTAAAGATGCCCAGTTGATCTGGGCTAGGGAATTCAGCCAAATGAGGTACGCATCCCAAAACATGTCACGTTGTACTCAGTAATTCTAAGAAACTCTATAATGGAGTAAAAGTGGGCTAACTATATAAGTATTATTTGGTATATGGGTGGGAATGGAGGATAGAATGGTATAACCTATACTTAGAGCAATGTGGAATACTGAAAGTACAGGTAATTTGGGTACAGATAGCTATTAGCGTTTTTAGCTAGCTGTGCTTAATCTGGGAACATTTCCAAGAGGAAGTGGATTTTGAGTTGGATTCTGCAGGAATAAAAGTGGTCTAGTGGAAAGAGTACTAGTTCTAGAATCAGTTCAAATTCCATCTCTGCTGTGAAAGTGAAAGGTGAACTTTTTTCTTTCTAGAGCCCAAGACCTCTACAGTATTTCTTGCCCTTCTCCACATCCTGTTGTCTGCTCTTTGGCCATCATAGTCATTTCCTTTCCTCCCAGACTGTAGGCTACTTCCTCTGCTTCTGCTGCTTTATATGTTTCCCCCATTAAAGTGTAAACTGCTTTATATTTGTATCTTCTAAGCTTAGCACTGTCTTTGGGATATGGTAAGCATTTAATAAATGTTTCATCCATGCATTCATCATCTATCTGTCATCTATGTATTGACATAGCTTTGGTCAACTTACTTAACCTCTCTGAGTCTCAGTTTCCTCATCTATAAAATGAAAGAGTTGGGCCTCTGAAATCCTTTCTAATATTTGATTTATGGTTCTCTGTAAAGGACCAAAGAAAATAGGATCTAGGTGAGACTGCTTATTCTAAGCATGGAAAAATGTAGATATGTATTGATCATCCGCAAAGGTTATCCTGCCTAGAGTGAAGGATGTAGGAAAAAATCTATTTGAGGTTCCTACCAGCATGTTCTTTGAGGCAATGTGGACAATGGTCCATAGACAGAAGTAAATACCTAATCTTAATCAGTGATTACAGATACTTGAGTGTTTCACAGAAGGATGAGATATTTAATAGAAATGTAAGATGTTATGCTTAAACAGATCAAATATTTTGAACTGTGACTTTACTTTTTTCCCAAGCTAATTTAGAATATCTGCAGGTAGACTTCTATAGGATTTAAACCAATAAATACTTCATTTTTATAACTCATTCTTTGACTTTTATTTGTCTAAGTAGCTATAATTGATGCTTACAAAGAATTACACCTCAATCAAATTTAATGTACCTTTACCTTGGGTAGGAAGAGATGACCATTAATTGTCCCAGCTAGGCCTATGTGATTTGAATGTTCTCATAACTGGCAAGGAATAAACAGTAAGCAAACTTGAATGCTTTTCCACTTTTTCCTCAGACCAGTTTGGGCTAGACCATTGAGAAAAGATTGCCTATGTCAAGAGATGAAAAGGACAGTTGGGTTAAGGAGGTTTTCTATCATCATATCTCCAAATAAAATCCAAGCTTTTTAATGTGCTTGAGCACAAGACATAAATGAAGCTGCCAATTAGGGAGGATAGGGGAGGGAAGTGCTCTTTATGGAGACCCAATGGCACTGCTCATGGATGACTCTTTGTGTATGTGGAGACTAATAAGTTGTGAATATTGGGGACCAGAGGAGGAAATCTCTGATCATTCATAGCTCCAACTTCCCTTTAAGGTGTAGGATACCTAAAAGAAATGTGCCTGTCCTTGGCAGAATAAAGATACTAGGAGAAGACAGTATTTATGACCATGGCAGCACAAAACAGTGAATAACTTTTATTAGGGCATATCAATGAACAGACAAAGTCAGCATGGAGGCTATACCAAGTAAAAAAAAAAAAGTCAACAGACCATACCAATCAGAGGCAGAAACAGGCCCTGTGGAATTCGAAGAGGACCTTGATAAAAAAAAAAAAATTCCTGGTAAAACACTGAAGAACATGTAATTGTAGCTTTGAAAATGGAAGAGGGCTTTATCTTGTCCAACCTGTTAATTTTACAAATGAAGAAAGTGAGATGCAGAGAAATTAAGTGAGTTTCCCAAGGTTTTACTAAAAAAAGAATTTGCAGAGACAGAATCTGAATCTAGGACCTTTGACTTCAAAACTAATACTCCATGTAATATCAATGTTTACTTTATGGAATACTGAAAATCTGTGTAACAATTGAATTTTAGCATCCTCTGATTTCCCTGTTGCAGAATGTATAATATTTATCATTGCTCTTTTTTCTAATAAACCTTCCTTTTAATATGTGGCAGTTAGTATGCTTGTGAACTTGTAAACTGGGGAGGCTGTACCAGTGTTTTGGACTACTAAGTACAAAGATATTGCAAGTCTTCTGCAGGAAGCTCTAGTCTCAAGGAGTATGATACCCTCTAAGA